GAAGGGGAAGGGGAGGCGAGGGAGGGGCTAGGCCTCACGCCTCACAGAGGCCTGGCTGTCCCTCTCCCCTCCGCTGCTCATGTGTCTCAGGAAAGTTCTGGATTTATGGAGTGCTCATGGAGCACCTACTCTGCTTACGGTATCGTGCCGGGCAGAACGCCCCCAAAGAACATTCCAGTCTGCCACTCGGAGACGCAACCTTGTATGTGCACGCACATGAACACACATGCACACCTACTCTACACACACATTCACACATGCATGCACGCAGGTGCACACACTCACGGCCACACGCTCACAGGCACACACATACATACATTGCTCATCTACTCTACACACACTTTCACACATGCTTGCAAACACAGGTGCACACACTCATGGGCGTGCACACATACATGCACGCACACTAGACACCTATACACACACTCACACGTGCTTGCACACACTACACACCTACTCTACACGCGCATTCACAAATGCTTGCCCACACGTGCATGCACACTCACGTGCACGCACACATACGTGCACACACATAACAACCTACTCTATACGCACATTCACAAATGGCTTGCACACATATGTACACGCTCGCATGCAGGCACACATACATGCACACACATACTATGCACCTCCACTACACACACATTTACACACGCTTGCGCACATTTGCACGCACACACTCACACACACGGGCACGCACACTCTCCATCTCAGTTAGAAGGCAGGCACGGGGGCTTACTGGAGCCACAGCGCGTGCCTTCTCCTTCAGCCGTGATCGACAAGAAAGGACCATCCCAGGGACACTTCAGATCTCTCTTGACCTCGCGCGCTCAGCATGCTGGGGGCCAGGCCCCTCCCAGACAACCTCCCTCTCGGAACGGAACACGTGGATCCTCCCTGAGCCCATCGAGCCACAGCCAGCCGGTCCGGAAGCCTCCATACAACCAGGGCTGACATATATGTCCTGCCTCAACCTGCTCTGAACGAAGCCACCGACGCACAGGGGGAGGCCTCAAGAGTGAGTTGAGCCCATCGTCACTCCCCAACTCAGGCACGCTCGCCCCACCTTGCTGTCCCATCATAACTTTCTGGGAAATAACACCCACCTTGCTGGAAAAGCCCACATGGGCGATGACACACATATGGTCCTCCTCCAGCCCCAGGACACAGTGAGTGCTCAGTAAGCGTGCTTCTTACTAAGAGGACAGACGGGAAGGGCCAGAGGCTCGAGAACCCCATTCTCTGCTCTTCTCCAGAAACACCCACCCCGGGGTCCCTCAAAGACACAGCAGGCTGCGCTCACAACATATGGCTGCAGGGCCGCTGGGTGAGGGGGCGGGGCAGGGCGGGAAG